AAACCGATAGAAAACGGGATGCGAGCGTCGCCCAGTTTGCAGCCCACTGAGACACTCATTAATTCCCAAAAAAAAAAAAAAAATAATCCATTTAAGCCCAGCTTTCACGTCAAGCCAGGTCTAAGGGCATCGCCCCGTGTTTGCCCTAAATTAGTTGAATTCGATTAGCCTAAAAACTGGAATTAAGCCCAATGTACCCTCATTTTGGGAAGGAACGGGCCAATGTGGGAAGAGAGGATTTGCAGAAAGCCGTCCTCGCTGTGGATTTGCTTTAGGCGTTGACAGCACCCAGTTTGCCCATTTTGGCGGTGTTTTAGAGAAAAACGCCTCTTCGGGGAGGAACGAGTCTCAGTTCGGGATTGCAGGGACTGGCAGAAATGGGGTGAAAAAACGGCGGTTCGAGGAGTGCTGCAAAAAGAGGGGTTCAAGCGGCGTCCCCGGCGGGGATTTGCTGGAGGATCGGCAGGGACTGGGATCCCTCAAGGCAGCTCCGGCCTTTTTTGGGCTGAAAAACTCTCCTTTTGGTGAAAAAATGCTGCTGAAGATTGGCAAAATGAACCCTCAGTCGCTGCTGCGGCCAAAGGGGACGAAGAAAGCGGAGGAAAGAAATAAAGAGCAGCAGCACCTGAAGGATGCGCCGGGAACGTGCGATTTACCTGATTTGGGCTTAATTTGCTCTCTGTGCAGATTAAATATGAATAAATAATAAACTCCCCTAATAAATCGGGGAGTTTTTAACCAAAAAGCCACGTTTCCGACCCCTTTTTTTGGGGGGGAAAAACGGCTGGTGGAGCAAAACGAGCTCGGAGGAGAGCAAGAGCCGGGCAAGCGCAGCCATAGCACAAACGGGGAAAATTCCGTGCCGTTTGGTTAACGGTTTTCCAAAAGCAGCAAAATTTAACAGAGCGGCTTCGGGGGAAGAATCGGGTCAATCGTTAACGGGATCACGCAGATTTGCTTATTAAGCAGGAAATTTTGTAAGGCGGGGGGAAGAAAAAAGCCTTGATTATATTTAATTCAGCCCCAGGTCGCCCAGTTGCGGGACGGGGCTCGTCCAGCAGCGCCTTCGTCTCCAGGAGAGCCGTTAATTTATTTGCTATAATTAATATTTCCCTGCAAGACCTTGCTGGCTGACATCACCCAAAATACTGTTTTAACGAGAAAAACCCAACCCAACAGCGAGCGCCGTCTGCGGCTTCGCTGCAAAATTATAAGTTACCGATCAAACAGCGGCCGCGGCACAACCCGCCAGGGTTCAACGGGCTTGAGAACGTCCCGAAACGGCTTTTTCGGAAAATGTTCATTTCCACGTCGATGGCGGGGCGGAAATAAAAGCAACAACCACGCGTGGGTGAGCACGGGATGGCCAAAACGCATGATTTCAGCCCAAAAATGAGGTAGGCAGATGGTAATATTGTTTATTAGACCCAGAAAAAACAGGTGGAAATGGGAGAAGAGGAGAAAAGGCAAGATGAAATTTTTCAGTGGGGTTTTTTTTGGGGGGGAAATCTCGTTGGGTTTTCCAGCACGGGGGGAAAGGAGATGGTGGCCGCCGTCCTTCAGGGGTTCCTGTTGTGCCGAGAGCTCGTTGCGGGGTGATGGGTAGCAAAATTTGCTGAAAACGCTTGAATTTGGAGGGGAAAAAAAGAGTCGGGGAGGGGGGCTGTCAAAAGCGCTGAGAAAATTGGGGGAAAAAATGGTGGAAACGGTCCGGGAAACGCCACCGCAGTGCCCAGATCTTTTTTTAGGAACCCGGCCCAAAAAGGGGCTTGGTCGATCCCGATTTCAGCCTGTTTGTGACAGTGGGTTAATAAAAAAAAAAATAACTTTCCGGGTGCGCTGCGGAGTCCTCGAGGTCCCCACGTGTCCCCGAAGTCCCCACGTGTCCCCGAAGTCCCCACGTG